TTGGTGGACATATGTTTTAGAGAGAAGAATCCACACTTCACAGTGTGAGCTGGTGAGAGTGAACATCTATTTGGAATGTTGATATACAGTACCTTGATCAGATGTTTGTAGGAAAAGTGGCTAATTTGTAAGGTAATAACTACAATTAAAATTGTAGTAGCACATAAAACGCCTGTCCCTATTTAGAAGCACAGTAGAGCCTTCTTAAAACAGAAGGCATCTACATATTATTCCTTATTTTAGGAGAGTGGGTTGACTCATGAAAATCAATCCTTTCTGCCTCTTAAGCTGGGTACATATAAATGTGTATAAGCCCACAGGTTGAACAAGGAAAATATAACAGATTCCTTCATCAACGCCAAGGAGCATGGATAGAGGAATCCCCTGCTGTTTTCAATTGTATTCTCACAATGGCGTTAGAGCTTGCAGCTGATTGGCTTCAAGCTCAGTTTGGCAGAGAATCTTCCAAACTGCTCCTTCGATCAGCAGATTAAGGGATGCTGGGTGGAAGGGTGCAGACAGGTGCTCCCACTGTGCAAATTCATGAAGAACCGGACAAAATTCCCATTGTTTATAGCCTACTTTAGCCACTGGGTTGGTGATCACACACATGTAAAGTACAGAGAATAGCTTTATTTGCCAGTGCTAATAAGCTGCCTTCCATTATACAGTATATTGCCAAAAGTATTGGGACGCCTGCCTTTTCACGCACAGGAACTTTAATGGCATCCCAGTCTTAGTACGTAGGGTTCAATATTGAGTTGGCCCGCCCTTTGCAGCTATAACAGCTTCAACTCTTCTGGGAAGGCTATCCACAAGGTTTAGGAGTGTGTCTATTGGAATGTTTGACCATTCTTCCAGAATCACATTTGTGAGGACAGGTACTGATGTTGGACAAGAAGGCCTGGCTCGCAGTCTCCGCTCTAATTCATCCCAAATGTGTTCTATCGGGTGAGGTCAGGAATCTGTGCAGGCTAGTCAAGTTCCTCCACCCCATCATCACTCATCCATGTCCTTATGGACCTTGCTTTGTGCACTGGTACGCAGTCATGTTGGAAGAGAAAGGGGCCATCCGCAAACTGTTCCCACAAAGTTGGGAGCATGAAATTGTCCAAAATGTCTTGGTATGCTGATGCCTTAATAGTTCCCTTCACTGAAACAAAGAAGCCAAGCCCAACCCCTGAAAAACAACCCCACACCATAATCCCCCCTCCACCAAAAGTTACACTTGGCACAATGCAGCAGGCAAGTACCATTCTTCTGGCAACCACCAAACCCAGACACGTCCATCGGATTGCCAGGTAGAAGCGTGATTCGTCACTCCAGAGAACACGTCTCCACATCTGCTTTACACCAATGCATCTGACGCTTTGCATTGCACTTGATGATGTAAGGCTTGGATGCAGCTGCTGGGCCATGGAAACCCATTCCATGAAGTTCTCTACGCACTGTTGTTGTGCCAATCTGAAGGCCACATGAAGTTTGGAGGTCTGTAGCTATTGATTACAGATAGTGTGCGACTTCTGCGCACTGTGCCATTCAGCATACACTGACCCCTCTGTCATTTTACGTGGCCTACCACTTCGGGGCCTAATTTAGTGAATTACTGTGGCATCTTCACATGGGAACACCCTGGAGGAAAAGAGACTGTGCCAGGAAGTGCCTCAGATATTTAATAGCTCTCCCAGCATGCACAGCAGGCTCTCCAGACCTACTGATTGGCCAGGCATTAACCATCCTTCATGTGGAGTGTTATCTTTAGCACACTCTACTGGTGGCCACCCAACATATCATGTGACTAGAAATAATAACTGCACACTTAGAGAACACTAACCAGCACAGCTAAGCTGATTAATCTACCCTAAAAGATCACAAAAGTGTAGGAGCAGAATTTGGAAAAAGTCTAGATCCCTACAGTAGCAAGGAAATTTCACGGATGGACTTATTGCACAGGTGGCAACCTATCACGGTACCACGCTTGAATTCAGAGAGCTCCTGAGAGCAACCCATTCTTTCACAAATGTTTGTAGAAGCAGTCTGCATGCCCAGGTGCTTGAATTTATACGCCTCTGGCCATGGAGGTGATTGGAACACCTGAATCCAATGATTTGGAGGGGTGTCCCGATACTTTTGGCAATATAGTGTAAAAAGGTAGGACAATATTTTTTACATTTTAGGCAATATTGCATATATAGACACGGACAAGGTACACAATCAATGCCTTACAGCATATTTACAGCTTATTTAGAATTACTAATACAAATCACAAGACTACACAACTATGAGCGTTCATATTAGTGGAATGAACAAACTGTACTATGTGTAATATTGTGTCACCACTTTACCAAATTCTGTCCATTCTGTCCCTGATTAGAAAATCACAAGCACAGTAAAACCCAGGCTTGTTAGTTTGCATCCATTTAACATGAACACAGCCTTTAACAGTCAACAATATATCATCATCTACAAGCCATCAATATCTTATAATTTACTATGA